AATCAAAATGTAAAGCTCTATCAGTCACTGTCCTGAGGAACAGGAAATTCCTTTAGGAATTTGCCTAAAAACAGAAACCCTTTTTGTTGTTGTTGTACATAACGCACAAAATCCGCAGCTTATTTCAAGTTGCAGGTTGGCAGTGTGTGACAGGACAGGGCATATATGTTAGTTTAGCTCTAATTTGTCCTTTTATCAGATCAGTTGTCGTTCATCAGCCTATGACATCATTCATTCTATGTCAGAATTACAGTGCTATGGAGAATCAAAGCCAAGGTGCTGTGGCTGGGATGGGAGACTGTTTAGACTTCTCTCAGTCCCCAAGCCTCAAACACAAATTCAGAGGGCATGTCTAGTTTTGCCAGAGTGTATCTAGATGCTGTTCCTTGCCCTATTACTGCACATAATCAGTTAAAGCTGAAGCATGAAAGCTTAGATTTTGTAATTTCACACGTTCTGCAGTTACCTCAGGCAGACCAAAACGTTGTGGTCTAGGACTTCCATGCCTGTTTATACTGCCATGCTTAAATAAGCATAAAATTAAATGAAGGGGAAAGAAAAATAGTTAAGATATAACTCTTGAGCTTCTGTGTCAGAAAGGCCACATTCCTTCAACATAGTCTCTGCATATGGCATTCTGTTTTAGGAGTCTGGTCTCTGTTCTACCCAAAAGGCCCAAGCAAAGGTTGGCTACTGTTTTCACTCTATACAAATCTCAAACCCTCCCCAAAGCCAGATTAATATGATTTGTATATTTAACAAACTCTAAAGTCTAAACTTTTAGTAAGGTAATATGCTTTGAACTGCAAAAACACTGTGTCTGTGTGGCACTCGGAAAGCCAGGAAGTTCAAGACTTAGCACTTTCTGAAGTTTTTGATTTAAAAAAATACCTATCTTATCAGATTAGTTTCTACTAAGGAGTAAATAATCATCTTTTGCTTTCAACAGTGCAAGTTTAGAATTCCGCATTATTCATTACTTAATGAATGCTGAAGTTAAAAATGAGATGAATGTTTGCAGGGACAGAATGAGACACATCCATCCCTAGGAAATGAAGAGTTATTTCTGGTTCAGCCTCTGAGCCCTTTCTTCTCAGGCTGCTGGCTAGCAGTTTGGCTGTGGAAACTGAGGAAAAAGAATGCTCTTTGGAAGAGAAATAGGGTTCTGCAATGAAAATGGGATGAATACTAAATAAAGGTTCTATGTTTATATGAATTTCTATTATAAACATTATTTCTAGGGAAAGGCCATGCTTCTTGTGGCTACTCCTTTGCCAAATTCTTTCATATCTTAGGTGTACAACGAGTGCAGCCTCCTGGTTATGATGAATTCTCATTGTATGAAAACTCAGAACACAAATGATGGATTTTGTTAGTTTTACCTTGGCTGATCCAGAATTGCCCTCTAGTAGTTCCAAGGAGATTTTGAATATACAGATGGTGAACAGAAATCCTTGCTGTGTCAAAGCCAGCAATCCTTTTGTGTCAGTATCAGAGAAGTAATCCATCAGAAAATGAGCTTGGCTTGAGCCTTCCTGGCTCTGTTGTTCGTTATGATGTGGTGTGGAAGGGTTATTGCCGAGTCTGATCTGTACTGTGTGTACAGCAGAGGGGCAGAAAGAAAAAGCAGTGCATTGTATTCTATCTTGATCTCACTTCAAAAGTCACCTATCTATTTGCAATTTAGCTTTTAAGGTATGTTAAATTGTTAGACTCTGGTAATAGTTGTAGGTGGACAGAGCTCAACTGAAAACTGAGACAAAGCCTACAGATAACCTGTAATAACCATCTGAATTCAAGTTCACAGCTTGGGGCTAAGTTTACAGAACACACAGTTTTAACCCAGAGAGGTTGGGAATCAATCTGCGCTCTTGAATTTGAGTCCCCAGGTTTGGGTTCTGTTGTATGTGTACAGATACTGGCTCTCATAATAATACATCAGTGAAAGCTCTTCATTATGCAACAGTAGGTGTGGATTTAATGCAACTCTCAAACCTTTGCAACAGATTTGGATAATATCTGACAGCCAGAGATTCACGTTACTAACATAAGCTTGACAAAATATTTGAGAATGACATAAAATTGCAGATGGTCCTGTTTTACTGGACATGCTGTTTATAATACAAGATAGACAAATGTTGTGCTTTTTTCCTTGCAGAAGTGCCCATGCACTTACATGTTTTTATTTTTAAAGAGAAATGCTTAAAGCTGATTACTGAATTATGTTCCTTTGGCTGCCTCTTCTTATTCATGTTACATGGAAAATAATACATACATATTACATAATACATCAATTATGTACATAATACATCAATTTTATGAATCTTAAATGCAATTTCATAAAAATGGTGTGAGAATCTTTATTTGTCACTTGGCTGTTTCCCAAGTGTGGTCTCGTTGCTGCTAACAATTTTTTTTCTTATGCCAAGAGTAAAATTCTAACCCCACATTGACGCAACTGAAGATAAGTCACTCGCTGACCTGAGTTCGCTTTAGAGAACTGTGGTGATCAGAAATGATTAACAGCAAGTTTCTGTGGTTCATCTTAGGCTCTGGTGAGCTGGTTAGTAGGCTGTAGTGGGTTTGCCAAGAACTAACTGCTCAAAGGTTAGCAAGTAGGTGTAATAATTTTTCAAATACAAAGTATACTTTTTATTCATAGAATGAATAGAAATAGATTATGGCAAAATTTTAGTAACATATTTATACCTAATATATATTTTATTTTGAAATAATCACAGAATCACAGACTTCTTTGGGTTGGAAGGGACCTTAAAGCTCATCCAGTTCCAAACGGGCACGGACACCTTCACTAGACCAGCTTGCTCCAAGCTCCATCCAGCCTGGCCTTGAGCACTGCCAGGGATGGGGCAGCCACAGCTTCTCTGGGCACCCCGTGCCAGTGCCTCACCACCCTCACAGTAAAGAGCTTCTTCCTAATATCTAATGTACATCTGCCCTCTTCTAGTTTAAAGCCAAACATTAATTCAATCATTCAGTCATTGAATAACACATTTATAAAAAATAAGTCAACATGGTACAATGGTGAAAAAAGGAATTAGATAAATTTAGGGATTTATTATCAGCTGGTGCCTATTAAGGAACCTGTGAATTGCCATCTCTATCACATGAAGAACACATTCCTCCCTCCCCTCTTCAAAAAGAAGCCTTAATAGAAGCTCAGTTAATGGGATAAATATGTAATTGCTCTATTTTTACTTTTTTTTTCTTAAGCCTCCACTAGTGGTCACTGTTGGGGAAAGGGCACAAAGCCAAATGCCGCTTAGGGCTGCTGTTGATTTTGCGCAAGAGTCATCTCTTTTGAGTATTACGGAGCTTTTCTTTGTTGGGTTTTCAGATATTTTTTTCCTTCTATTTTTGTCTACAACAAAACGAACAGATTCCAAAAGGATCGAGGAAGTGATAGGAATGAAAAAGAAAACTTGCAGAAATGCTCTAAAAAAAATATTTGTTGACAGGCAACATATATGTGTCTACAGAAGGGCTTAAAAAGCTACCACAGTATTGTTTAGAGAAATAAAAAGCATTGATATAAAATGTTTTTCATGCATGCTTCATATTCTAGCTATTGCATGCTTTCTGCATAGAATTCATGTGGCTTTCATGGGCTTCTTGACTTGGTGAGAGATTTGCTCTCCTTCATCTGTGCAATCTTAGTTTATTGGCTCTTCGTCACGGTCCACTGGAAGGGACCATATCTGTTGCAGAAGAGATGTGGGTTCAAGCAGCCCTGGTTGCTTTGGTCACTCATGGAGCTGGGAAGATATCTGAATGTATGTTAGTAGTTTACAGCTGTCCATGCAGAAGCTATGTCTGTTACAAGAGTGACAGCACTGGTCCTTCATTTCTGTCTTTCAATAAACCCTTAGAGCAGCATTCAGCTCAGGCTGAACAGTGGCTGGATTTCAGGGAAGAAGCAGATGACCTGGTTGCTGTTCTTAGGGTGGGAGGACATGTGTGCTCAGCCCTCCATGTCCTGCTCTCTTCCTCCTGTCCTCTCACAGCAGGAGAGACCCAGCTTCGTGATGTGGCTGTTACCTATCCATGTCCCTGTCTGAGCTGGGGTAAAAAATTAAGATGAAATTCAGAAACTTCATTGGGTTCATTATCACCACTGGAAAGCCCCCCAGTCTAAATACTCTTATTTTTTTCCCCACAGAAACCAACCACATTATTGCTCAATAATGTGAAATGTGGGAAATGAAGTCCTGCTATATTGCATTTAAGTGAAACTGTCTTAAGAAAAAGCACCTCAGGCCATTTTCCAGACTTTGGCACCAGAGCAGCACAGAGCAGTGCATGGTGCTAACACTGAAAGAGTGGAGCTGTGCCCCCTTCCCTCCTGCTCCACAGCTTCCCAAACACCCCAGCCATGCTCCCGTTCTGGTAGCAGCTATCAGTGCCTGGGAATCTTAGAAGGGCCATATCAGCTACTGGTCAGCCAGATCTGGAAAACCCTGCTCTGGATGACTTCATGCGTAGACACTAAAAACTATAATGGAAAAGAGGGAAGGGGATCCTTGTGTTGATGGTTCCAGCAGCTTCTGGTGGGAGCTGTGGTAGCAGACCTGCCATGGTCTCTCCAAGCTGACCAGAAACTATTCAAACTGAAACACTGACATGGTTCAGTGGTGGTCTTGGCAGTCCTGGGGTAAAGATTGGACTCAATGATCTTAAAGGTGTTTTCCAACCCAAATGATTCTATGTTAATAACTCCCTTACACGTTCTGCGTAGAAAGAGGTAATGGAAAACATGACCTATTTACTTCTGGGAAAGCATGCTTGGAGACACGGCTGCAAACTATGGACCCGGGATGGTGTAGAAAGAACGGGAATATGGGGATTTCAACAGAAAACCTGAGGTAACTCTCTCGTGTCCTCACAATCCCTCATCCACGAGGTGCCACCCATGGGCCGAGGCGCCGGGCAGCTCCCCACGGCCCGGCTCACCGCTCAACCTCCCCCTGTGGAATCACCTCAGCCCTTCCCGCCGCCCGGCTCCTCCCAAGATGGCGGCGGCCCCGCCCCGCGCGGGCGGTTTCCCGGAGCCCGTCCCCCGGCGGTGGGGTGTATGACCGCCTCGGTGCGGGGAGAGGGTGGTGGCCAGGCTCGGGGGCGGCAGGCCGAGTGGAGGGCGCTGGGTGAGCAGTGCGGTACCGGTTGTGTCCCGGCGGCTGGGTGTTCGGCGACTGGGGCCGGTCGGGGACGGAGAGGGAAACTTTCCACGCGGAGCAATTCCCCGCCGCGGCTCCGGCCGATTTTTCGCGGCCATGTTGGGAGCCGGGGGTTGCCTGGTGGGGAACGAGCTCCCCCGGCGGGAGGCGGCGCCGGGCTCTGCTGGCGGCTGCCGTGCGGGGTTGTCCCGCTGGGGCGCTCCCAGCCGCCCGCCCGCCCGCCGTGGTATTGCTGCTTCCCGCCGCCGGGAGGGACGCGGCGGCGAGGGAAGGATCCGTGGAGGGGCGGCGGTTGGCGCTGGCTTGTCCCAGGGCTCTGCGGGAGTTGCGGGGTCTGGGGAAGGAGCTCGGGGGGAAACAACAGCGGCCCCGCCGTGTTACGTAAGTGCTCGAAACTGCCCAACTCGTGACCGGCGCCGAGGCCCGGGCGGCGGCCGTTTGCTGTGGGGTGGAGGGACGGGACGGGACGCGTCGGGCTGGGGCGGAGGGCGCTTCCTTCCCTGGCGGCCCCGCGGCGCAGCCCGCCACCGGGAGAGTGCTGCGAGCCGTGCCCAACTCAGAGCGAAACCCCTGTGCAGTCTTGGTGTTGTCGTGCAGAGAGAGCAGCGGAACGGCGAGTGGTGCGGCTGCGAGCGGCGTGAGGTGCTGGGGTATTTTGCTGTGAAACTCGGTTATTTTGGAGAGGAGCGTGACTGCTCTGCTGAAGACATAATGTGGCTGTTGTCTGAAAGCGGCTCAGGAAAACACAGCCACATGGTTTTCTTCTCGCCTCATTTGAAGTCCTCTGTGCACAGACAGCGATGTTTATAAATGGCAAAATTGCTCGTCTTGGCAAGGGAGCGCTGCGAGAGCGGGCGGAGCAGCGCGGCCGGGCACCGGCTTTGTCCCCGCGCAGTGAAACCGCTGCCGCGCAAGTTTTAACGTCGAGCGGCAGTGCAGCGAGTGCTGATAACCAGACCGACCTGTTGTATCTTCAACTTTGACTCATTTGCCTGGATTTTGATTGAATTGAGCGGTTTGAGAAGTGTCATCAAGTCCTAACTCGGGGTCCAGTGTGCGGAGTAGTTACTGTAGGGTTTGATGCTTATTTGACGTACACTACATCCAAGGCTGCAGTGCGCGTAGCAGCTTAATTTCGGATGAGGTTAGTGCAGTTGGCAAAGTGCGTCTAAAATCAAACCCACAGTACTAGGATCAGTTTCAGAACTGAGATTGCCGTTTTCTCTTTCCAGAAATAGAGATCTTCCAAGACTTGTATATTAAGTTATTTTAGGGATGGCTACCTGAAAGAAGGGAAGTTTTTAAAGATAACAGTGTAATCAGTGCTTAAACCCTATGAATTAATTGCTTTGTAAGCAGTCATCAACATGCAGAAAGGAATTGGTTCTTTAGCCCAGAAAGCAATGTTCTTGCTTTTAACCTATATAATCTAAGTATTATTGATTGAGAAATAAGAATCCCTGTGTAGTTAAATGTAATGTATGTCAGCTCGGTTTGTTAAATAACATATTCCTAAGTGTTTTAGTGCTGTGCTGCTAATGCTATAACAGCAGTGAAAGTGAAGTGTTGTGAGCCTGAGTCCTGAATTCTCACTTCTGAATGCAAATCAGCCACATGCCTTTTGGAGTGTGTTTTGCTCTGCATAGAAACACACATAAGGAGTCCCTTAAATGCTAAATAAAAATGGGTGAGTAGAAATTTGGAGCTGGAGAAGCTGGATCAGCTTTCTTTGTCTTACTGTCTAGAAAGAGACAGAGTAGTGTCTTCACCTAGAAGCAAGTTCTCACTAGATAAAGTGATGAAATAATTCTTACCAAGAGCTGTGTTCTGTTTCCTTTACATTATGGGCTAAGGCTTAACTCTAGTATTATGTACATCCCTGGACTAATAGAAGATTTGCCTGTAATATCTTGAAGTGCTTTAGTCTACAGAAAATATAATCGGTAAAATGGTTGTTTAATTCAAACAACACAGTGACTTAGGTTTCACTGTTAGGGTTAGTGGATGCGGGAAGATTTCAGAGCAGTGAAGAGAGGTGGAACTGCAGTCTCAGGTGAGGCATGATATGGCAGAGCTTGGCACATCTCATTTTCCTTTCCAAGAGCTGAGTGCAGGGTACAAACACTGTTTTTGTTAACACTTGCAGCATTTTTGGTGACTTGTCTTCACCAGAGAGGGATAGAGGTGTTGAAGTGAAAGCTGAGGGTCAAAGTGTGGCATGTAGGTGAGGGAGAGTTAAAGTTTTTCATACTTGAACATACAATCTTAAAATGTGTGTCTGTTAGATAAAATGTTCGATGTGGTGGTCAAGCAAAAAATTGGCATACAAATTTTTGTTCCTAAAAACGATTTGGTAGCAGGTGATGTCAAATAAGGAAACTGCATCCTTAGCAATGAATACATTTCTTAGATGTTGGTAGGTAAGAAAGTTGACTTCTTGATATTTTTTTTTATTATTTTTTGTATTAAGAAATTAAATCTTACTCTCTACTGCTTCAGGTTCTAAAGGTACATTTGTGGTTTATTCCAAGCTCTGTTAATGTTCAAACTTACTTTTCTATTTCTGTCATTTTAAAAAATTATAGATGATGCCTGTATATTTTACTGCTTTCAGGGATTAATTCATTAATTTGATAGAAGTTTGATAATCTGTACATTGTTCTGAAAGAGAACATATAAGGTAAAAATACAAAACAACAAACGCTTTTGAAATAGAACTGTGTAGGTAAAACTTTCTCCCTATCTAGGTTTGTAGAATACCTTTGGTTGTCATGATTTAGCAGAGGACTTGTTTTTACAGTTGAGGGGAGTAAAAAGCTACTCTGTAGGTAGGTGTGGTGGAACATGTTTGCCATACTATAGATTTTGTTGTTGTCATAAGCTATAAAATGTGATGAAAGCTGTGTTGGCAAGTAGAGTCCTGCAGACTGAGCCACATGAGTAGTCTTGTTGAAATAAACGAGACTGCTCATATGAGAAGTGGCTTGATGGAGAGTTGTAGGACAGAGATTCTCCTTTTAAGAAAATAAACATTATTGTGCAGAAATGTTATTGAACAGAAGAGTACTTCATGTTTTTCAGGCTGCCACTTTACGTAGTCAAAAATGTGCTCATATGTTTACTTTAGATTTTAAAGTTACATTACTAGGCAAGAGTGCTGCCACCTTGGACATAATGATGCTTTATGTGTTGGGTCTGTTGTTTTGTTTTTTAGCCTGTTAGTGAGCATAAGTAATTTAAGGATTGAAATAATATTTGCAAGTGGCTCTTTTTTTTTTTTTCTCTTTGCATCCATATGTATACAGCAAAACAGTGTTAAGCATATTGTGTATGTAATCTAGCAGGATTTGGGCATTTTGTACAAGTGTAAAAGAAGAAAAAACAATTGAAAATTAAGGATTTCAAATAGAGGAATATTCTCTCTATATCCTTTCCACCTCCTGTTCCTGAATGTAAGACAACATGCAAGCAGTTAGTTACTGTGGTGAGATGCAATGCTTTGAGAAGCTATACTGATTCAGATAGATTCAGGAAGGTTGCTAGATGTATCCAATCTTGCTGTCAGCAGCTTTAGTTTTGACTAGGTGCCTCTTGTACCTCAAGTGGTATATGTTATCTACAGGTAATTGTTTTGCTTTCAAGTACGTACTGTGCCTTCTGCAAAAGGAAAAGCTACAGCATGTTCTTTGACATTTACATTTCTAAAGTGTATGCATAATTTGTTAATGAAAATAAATATTAAAGAGTGCACCATACACACTGCTGTTCAGGTTGTCAGGCAGCATCTTTCTCAGAACAGTTTGCTGTGCAGGTTAACTCCAGTGCAGACCTTTGTGCAGTTCTCAAAGTTTCATCTAGATCATGTCATCTTTGCTATGCAGTAAGGGCCTGAGAGCAAAGGAAAATGGCCTGTTGGATGGGACTCAGGTGGAGCACGAGCCCCTGCGGTATTCTGAGCGCTGTTTATTGCACTTGGAGGTCTGGGTTGTGCTGAGTGCTCTAATGTCTGTACTCCAGGTGCTTTCTCTGTAACTTTAAAATGTATCAAATGTATTTGACAAGCAGTAAAAGACAAAAAGGCCAGTGAGTGCATTTCCCAGGAAGGCCACCTACAGTAAGTTGCTGTGATTAGGGGATTGTTTCAGGAAATTACTCCTTTTTTTTTTTTTTCCCCTCCCTGCTTCTGCTTTAAATCTCTCCTAACGTAGCTGTGAATTCTCAGTAATGTAAAACTTCTGAGGCTGATTTTTAGTGCACTTCTGTTCTGAAAGCTGTCTGTGACAGTGAGATTTTGGGTTTTTTTTAATTTATTTTTTTCTCTCCCCTCTTCTGCCCCTCCCATTCTGATCTAGGTTAGCAGCTTGGAGGCACATGGACTGCCCTTCTAACACACAGGTTCGGGCTGAAAAGCTGGTTACACTGAAGATTGACAAACTTCATTTACCATTGTTAAAGCTTTCCTTTTGGCTTTTGACAATGGCTGTCAGATGGTGGGGTTTTTTTTGATGGTCATCTTTCACTAGGCATTTGTTGTAAAAAAACCTTATGTTCCTTGCTCAAGAAAGAGCAATTCAACACTTGGCTTATTGGCTTATGTATTTTAAATTGCTGGATAAATGCATTTTAAATATTGTTGGGGGTGACAGTGACAGGTCCATGATTGCAGCACTTCAGTGTTTTCAAGCTTCCTGAAAATCACAACATGTGGCTTGATTCCAAGCCCCACGCTGCGTTTCAGCCCCTGGTTTCTGTTGTGATGGAGGTTGCCGCCTAATGACAGCCTTGCTGGGCACATGGCTGCTGGGGCCTGAGACATTTTTTTTTGTACTGATTTAAGCAACTTGTTTCAGGAGGTTTAAATGGTAGCAAAAAGAATCCCTGCAGCCTGCCATATGTGCCCTTAGTCTGTTCATGCTGGTAAACTAATGGTAGAAATTGCTTGACTCTCTTTTTTTTTTTTTTTTTTT